TGGCTGCTTCTCCTCTTTTGAACACCTCCCCCTCTACCATCCCTACTCTCTCTCTCTCTCAAAATCCTCCCTAGTTTACCGCTCCCCAAACATCCTAGCACCTTCCTCACTGATATCTCCTCTCTCCTCTCATCCCTGTCCCCCTTCATTGAACACCTGCTCAAAATGGTTGATTTTAACTTCCATCAAGACTCCCCTTACGCCACCTCCTCGGATTTCATTGCCCTCCTTTCCTCCCTAAAGCTAACCCTCCACATCAGCTCGCTGACACAGAACCTTGGCCACCCACTCGACCTCGTCATCACACATGGCCTTGACATTTCCAAACTGTCAATCACGGACAAGGCCATTTAGGACCACTTCCTCATCGCCCTCTCCCCCTCCAATCATCCAAGCCCTCCACCATTGTTTTCCGCTCCTGGAAAAAGCTTCCCCCTGAGTCGATCACACATGCCCTCTGTTCCTCAGACCTGCTATCCCTGTGGCCCTTACCAGCAATGATCCTGATGCAGCCATCAAGCTGCTGAATGACTGTCTCTCCACAACCTTCAATTCTCTGGCTCCCCTGAAATCCAGGGTTGTTTCCAAACCCACCCGCTCTCCCTGGTACAACAATCATCTCCGCTCACTCAAAACACAAACCCAGATGCTCGAGTGCAGATGACAAAAAACCAGCCTCATGATTCACCGCCAGCTGTGGCTCAAGCACCGCTGCACCTACTGCCCCTCCCTTTCACAGGCCAAAACTGACTTTTAGTCCAAAGTCATCCTGGAGGCCAAAAACAATCCAAAGATACTGTTTTCCACCATCCATTACCTCCTCCATGCACCCCCTCAAGCCCCCTCTATCCTCACATCAAATGTCCTAGACTTTTTCGCCTCAAAGATTGAAAACATTCACTTGGCTGCATTGTCCTCCCCCCCCACCCCACCCCCCTCCACCCCATGTCCACTTCCAACCCACCCAGACCATCTGAATTTAAAACGATAAACCAATCTAAGCTTCTAAGGATACTAAAACTTTTCCTCGAGTCCCTTGTTCCTGGAGAAGGGAGTTTCTCCCAGTTTCACAGCCAACAAATCCCCCAAATAAATTGGTTATTCCCTTAATGATGTTTGGGGCACTGCTGTGTGCATGTTGGTTCGCAAACACAACACAGTTTTCCATTTTGCAGTATAATTTAATTTAAGGGTGTCTGATACTTGCGGAAACCCACATGTTGTACGTGTGATGTGTGTGAATTCTAATAACTGTAGCTCAGTGGTTAGAGCACTCACCTCGCATTAACTTTTTGACGTACATGTAAATTTTAGTAACTGGCTCAGTGGTTAGAGCACTCAGGTTTGGTTCCTGGCAGGTAGAAACCTTGGGCACGTTCCACACTCCACATGCCTGATAATAATCTGTCAAGGAAAAAAAACAATAATCTCTTCAATTCAGGACTGTTTGTGGGACACTGCTGTGCGCTATTGGCTGCAGCATTTCACGCGCAAAATATTCAGTCAATTTACCTTACAGTATATTCTGTGAAGCGCTTTGAGAGGAGTCTACAAGACGTGAAAAGCGCAATATTATATGCAAGGATTATTATTAGTAATAGTTGTAAACACAACATACTAAGTCCACAACCCCCAACACCCCCCCAAAAGAATTCACCAAGAGCAGCCCACCTGAGCATCTCCCTGGCGTCGAAAGTGAAATGGTTTATTTAAATAATAACATAGCCCAAGTACAAGGAATAAAACCACTATTAAGAGCCATGCAGCATGCAATGATGCAAAGTGCTGTATACAATCAGGCAACTTTATTGTAAATTGCCGCATTAAGATACAGAGTTTTCAAAGTAAAGATCTAATTAAAAGAACAAACATCTCTTGGCATGGCATACAACATATAGTGTTCATTAACAGTGAACTCGCATGAACGACTATTCCAAGCTTCACGCTAAACTTGGTGTATACCATGAATGCCCACAAGGTGGTGACTATCAAGTGCTCCAATTTTCATTGCCAGTGTCTTTCTGAATGACTTTTTTATTTTTTTACAATTTAGAATCTTAAAGAACACAAGTCTTTTTATGTTTTTAATTTTTTGCGCTAGATTTTAAGAACAGCAGTGACAAGGGACAAATAGGAAACCAGAGCCAGTGGGTGGTGGAGTGGGGGATAAGCAGGTCGGATTAGTAGGGATGTGCTGTTGGGATTTCCGATCCCTAGAGTTCGAAATATGACCTGACAATCCAAGATGGTGCAATAATTTTTTTATTATAAAACAGTGAGCTTAATAGTGTGTAAAGAAGAGCATACTACCGGTTAATCCGCGTAGAACAAAAGTGGCTGTCGTCACGCGCTTGCCCTGGTTTCGCTGGTGTAATTCCCTCACTCCCCTCCTACCAGCCAGAACTAAGTAATCTCTCTCTCTCTCTTCACTAATTATACCCTTTTCCGGACTCTTGCCAGATACCTTCTTCCCTCTCATAACTTGTCCTTCACGTTCTCATCCTAATCAATCATTGGCCTGGTGCCAGCCTGACCAGTGTTGATAAGGTGAGTCTCCGTTGTCTATAATGATGTTATTCGGGACTGGCCTATTGGGAAGTCTACTCCCATTCCCCTAAAAACTGCTACCATCACTCCCACTGGGTCGCAGCTATCAAGCTACCGGCCCATCTCCAACTTCCCCTTCCTGTCCAAGGTCCTTGAAAGAGTTGTCGCCTCCCAGCTGCGCTCTTTCCTCTCCACTCATGCATTATTCGAACCCCTTCAGTCGGGTTTCTGTGCTGCCCATAGCACAGAAACCGCCCTGGTCAAGGTCACCAATGACATCTTGACCATCTGCAACCAGGGCTCCCTCTGCCTTCTCGTCCTCCTCGACCTATTGGCAGCATTCGATACGGTCGACCACTCTATCCTCCTCCACCGCTTGTCCTCCCACCTCAACCTTCAAGGCCCTGTCCTTGAGTGGTTTAGGTCGTACCTTTCCCACCGTCTTCATTTTGTTTCCACAAACGGCTTTTCCTCCAGCCGCTGCACTGTCTCGCGTGGTGTCGCTCAGGGCTCTGACCTCGGTCCCCTCCACCTTCACCCTCTACATGCTCCCCCTTGGTGACATCATCCATAGACATGGGGTTAACTTCCACATGTATGCGGATGACACCCAACTCTACCTTTCCTCCTCTACCCTCAACTCCACGACCACCGATGTCCTGACAGCCTTCCTGTCTGACATTGAGTCCTGGACGAGAGACAACTTTCTTCAGCTCAACGCGCGCAAAACTGAGGCCCTCCTGATTGGCTCACGTCAGCGCCTCTGCACCTCAGGCGCTGACAGCATCAGCATCCAAGGCTGCACTCTCCACCTCTCAAAGCCAGTCAGGAACCTCGGCGATCTGTTCGACCCCGAGCTGTCCTTTCTTCCTCATATCCGCGCCATAACTGGCACCGCCTTCCATCACCTCCGGAACATCACCAGACTACGGCACTACCTCACCCCTCACGCTGCTGAAACTCTGGTCCACGCCTTTATCACCTCAAGGCTGGATTATGGGAACTCTCTCCTCGCCGGCCTTCCCGGCACCTCCCTCCACAAGCTGCAGGTCATTCAGAACTCTGCAGCTCGTGTACTGTCCCGCACCAGGCTTCGCGACCACATCACTCCCACCCTCGCTCGCCTCCACTGGCTCCCCATCCCCCAGAGGATCGAATTCAAGATCCTCATCCTCACCTACAAGGCCATTGACGGCCTTACTCCCTCCTACCTCTCCGACTATCCCCCTACTTACCTGCCCGTACCCTCCGTTCCTCTGGCTCCGGTCTGCTCCACATCCCCCGCCCCAACCGCCCTACCATCGGTGGTCGGGCCTTCAGCCTCTCAGCCCCCAGGCTCTGGAACTCCATCCCCCAGTGCCTTCGCCTTACCTCCTCTCTTTCCTCCTTCAAGTCCGGTCTCACGATCTTTCTCTTTGACCGAGCCTTCAGCTCCCTTCTCGACTCTCTACCCCCTCCTCGCTCCCTCCCTTCCCTCCCCTCACCCTGACCATTTCCCCCCTGCTCGGGTCCTGACCCAACTGTCCAGCGCTTTGGGACGTCCTCCCGACGTGAAAGGCGCTCTATAAATGAAACCTTGTTGTTGGTGTATCTTTCTAGGCCTAGCACATGATGTTTTGCAGAGTTTTTTCTCTCCATTTCTAGCTGGTACCCAAGGTTACAATAACACTTAGGACTCTGCATCTGGAGAGAGGAGAGATAACGGGTACTGTGGTTCCACACCTGTGCCACATTCCATTAGTAAGAAAGCTAATTTGGTGGCCATTTTGACCTGTTAATACAATTAATTAAACATATCTTAAAAGAATGGATATAAAAATCTTATTCTATTCTAAATGATTATAGGGGAATCCCTATTTCCCAACAGTCCCCACCTTGAGAGTGAGAAAATTTTAATTTACGATCTCTCATTCCATAGCCTTGGACATAAACCCAGTATTCCTCAATGAGCAGCCCCATTGTTGGCGGGTAATTAATTTTGTGACCGTGCGTAGTCGCAATATTGCCAATATGACCAAAATGATGTCTTCCCTCTGCAGGTTGTTAAAGTCCCTATAAATAGGGTCGCAAATATCCGCAGTCAAAGACAGGTTAAAATGCAACATGATTGGTACATATTCGTTCATGATATCGGGATACAATACATCGTAGAAACGTTCAATCACGAGTCCATTTGCTGGTCCTGTAATTAAAGTCGGACACGATGCGTTCTGCGGGATGACAGGGATGATGATAACCAATATTTCTGTGCCATATGCATAGGTTCCTTCTGGATCCTCCACTGAACAGTTGTAATAGCCCTCATGACGATGAAAAACGTAAAGAAATATTAGGTCTCGCTCACTCGCATTGTTGTATCTTCTGTGTGGACTCAACATCGGTACGCCCCACCTTCCGATAGATGCACCATTGCCTGAAGACATACGGTGTCGTTGGAAAATTATAGTGGGAGTGCCGTCACTGTCTGTATCGATGGTACAGGTGAGAGTTAAATGGCTTCCTAATTCTACCTGTACCAGTTGGTGAGGCTGATCGTATTCGTAATCATCAATAATAGGATCAGTCTCCCCATATTTCGAGCGCGTATCAATTGTCTGAAAATCAAGGATATATCTGTTAGTTTATCAGTTACTTTACTGATTTCAGTGGTTAATATGATGCCATTTAGCTGTTTTGCCTCCCCTTTTTCCCGTATATTGGATCAAATATACTGAAGTGCTGGCCTTGTCTGCAATAGGGAACGGACCGTTCCACTTTGGTGAGAATGGGTTTTCTCTTTTACTGAAGTCCAACACCATGACTGTGTCCCCAATATTACACTCACATTCTCGTACTTTCTTATTAAACTACCTTTTCATTTGTTGTTTGTTTCTTCCCAAATGGTTAGCTACAAATTCATTTGTGTGTTGGATATCTACAAGCATTTTATCAATCCAAGCTTCGCTGAAAGCCCCCTATAAGTTCAGGTTTCCATCCATAGTTACGCCTGGGGAAGGAAGTTGGAGCAAGTGACCCGGTAGCCTCATTATTCGCCCTGTCAATGCCTGATACGGGGTCAACCCAGTGGCTGAATATGTGGTTGATCTAAGCGCCATTAAGCACAACGGCAGCATTTGTACCAATTGGGTGGGGTGATCTGCACAGTATTTTTTAATAGCATCTTAATAGTCCAGTTTTCCCGCTCCACTACCCCTGAGAATTGAGGGTGGAACGCGATGTGTAACCGCTGTTTAATCCCCATTAGTTTGGTGAGGGTTTTGAAAACTTTAGCGGTAAAGTGGCTCCCTTGATCACTATCGAGAACTCCCCACCTGCAGATCACCTCACTCAATAGTATTCATGCTACGGTAATTGCTGTGGCAGCTCTGACAGGAACGGCTTCAATCCATTTGGAAAATTTATCTAAAATAATCAGAGCATATTTGTAGTTGCCCGGTGCAATGGGCAGGGGTCCGATAAAATCAATTTGAATATGTGTCCAGGGCCCTTCTGCCTCTGGGGCACCTTTTAACAGAGCCCAATTAGCAGGTGGACCGGGATTATGCTGTAAGCAAACCAGACAACGGTTAGCGCGAGCGGTTCTATCATCATTGAGGGTGGGCCACCAGGTGGTGGAATGTGTTTTGGATATTGTTGAATTTACAGCCATATGTCCCCCAATTGGGTGAGAGTGGAATTGGAAGAAATCTTCTGCCATGTCGGGGGAAACGCACACCACACCAGGTTTGTCCATGTCATCCTGGTATAAGAGGATGGTAGTATTTTTATCTTTATCGGCAGCTGTAAAAGTTTGATGAGCCCATGGAGTCAGGGAAGGTAATGGTTGACCGTTTAGATGCCATTCCCGGACAATCACTTATGGGACATAGGTGTTCTGTAGTGCTTCAAGATCTAGCTTTGAGTCAATCATAACTGAACAGCATTCCTCGGTCCAAAAACCGTTGGAGATATCCAGTCTTGAAAAGAACTTTGCCCCATGCGGAATTCGTGACAGTATCGTAGGCGCGTCATTAACAACGGGAGCGGACCCCGGGGTTACTGAATTTAATTTACGATATTCAATCATTAACCGCCATGACCCGTCTGGTTTCCTTGCTGGCCAAATAGGTGAATTTGTGGTAAAGCTGCCTTTACGTATAACTTAACTCCCTGGTCTAAAAATGATTGTACCGTGTCACGGACATACATGAGGCTTTCGAGCGGGACAGGATACTGTTTCGCTGATGCATGGGTTGGACCATTTATTTCCTCTTCCTGACTCATTCTCCCACAATCATATTTATGTTGAGCTGCAACATCATCGTATTTGATCAGTAATTGTACTACTTGTTCGTTATCATGTTTGATGGGTTCGTACATCTCAGGCTTCTTTATAGCCGTTATGGCGAACACATCAGACACGATATGGTGTCCATCACTGCGGGTTAATGTGCCCTGCTTTCGGGAACCCACAGGCATGAAATAGTGTAATCCACTATCGTGGCGTTTTTCGGGAGAACGTCGGATCCTAGGATACCTTGTTTCCCAGGGTGATAGCATTATTCGCTAGTCTCACTCCCTCTTGGGTGGAACCGTTGAATCCCGTAAGGGAAAACAACTCTCCGGTTGCCCCAGGAAAATTTTTGGGACATTTTAAATAGAACAATGTAATGTTAGACCCTATGTCGACAAACATTGTTTGTGCTTCGCCCCTCGACAATGCAGCAGTTATAAAAGGTCTATTATCTAATGTTCTTTTAAAATTAATGGGAGTGGAATTCCCTTGAACGAAGTTCACAGGAATTCGTACGGTCGATCTTTGGGGGGCTGTCTCTCATTAATAAGAGGTCTCAATAAGATTTCCCTCTCCTTCTACGTTGTTCTCCACTGGTGGGCGGATGGACTGACTGAGACCGATCCTGTTCTTTTATCATTTTTGAACTTTTGATCATTTTTCGTCTTCCAAGTGGTTATCATACTAACTAGTTGGTCAAAGGGAATCTCGGCTAGCTTATCCATAAGCATAGTGGGTATCTCAGGCTGCTTTTTATCGTGGCATTCATTGGCCCTTCTATTCGGGCATTCCTTAGCCCAATGTCCCTCTTCCTGACAGATGTGGCAATTGGATCGACCCGTTCCCCTCCAAGGACCGGATTGTCTTGGCCCGGACTGTATTTTTATTTTGATAATACGGCTGTCTTCTATTCTCGTAATTAGGGGAAAAATGCTCTCTGTTTTTGTTCTGTCTCTGACTCTTGAGTCCCTCTACCTCTTCAACCTGGATCACCCTTTTCAATCCCACCTTACTTTCCTCGATCTTGGCCTCTCTATGTCTCAGGCTGCGATAATAAGCCCCGTCAGCAATCTTTATCACATCCTCCCATTCCGTGTCATCAGTTACTAATCCCACTATGGCTGATTCGATTTCAGGGATGAGCTTCTGGAGAAATGCCTCTCGGTATATGTTTGACTTTCCTGCATCATCTGAGCTCACTTCTTCTGTTTGTAACTGAACAGTTTCACTAGCCTTTCATGAAACTCTGCTGGGCTTTTGTCTCCTGCCTACACTGCCTTCCCATATGCCTGGCTTATGTTCCATGCTTTCCCTTTTGTGAGTGTGACCTTAACCGCCCTTAAAAACGCCGTACCACCTACTTCTGGTTTCAAATTATTCCGCGGCAAGCGCTTTTGTACTTTCAATTCGATCGCGTATAACAGTATCCTTTTAAGGTCTTTTTCCTCCAATTCAGGGTGACAATTTCTAAACAGATCGTATTGTTGATTCAACTTAATGGGACAAGTTTGTCCTGTGATCGTGCTGAACTCTTTCACATAAGCCACTACCTCCTCGGGTCTTAGCGCCTGACTATGTGTCTCCTCCCTATCATCTGTGCCATTCGCATCATCACTAGAAGTCGCCTCTTGCTGGTCTCCCACTTCAAACACCTGACTCCTCGTCTGCATTGGGTGAACCCAGCTCCGAATAGTAGTGTGACTGTTACTGACTTTCCTGATTCTTCCTTACACATATCCAAATATATTTTATCTACTTTATCTATGGCTGTTTTGACATTTTGATTATCCTCCATCATACCCTCTGTCGTAATGGCGCATACCATCGCCTGCTTGCCCATCAGCATCTCCTTCAATTTCTCTATTTCTCTCCCACACTGAGTGTGATCTGTCTCAGTGGCTGAAGCTCGGTTAATTAAGGTGTTAACTGCTCCCTTGGCCGCATTCAACTGGATGCTCATAACCTCAGACTTCTGACTATGCTGCAGCGCTATTCTCCTTTCTTCATGCTGTTCTCTCTCCAGCTTAGCTCGGCTGATTTCGCCTTGCATCATGTGTAGCACGGAGGTTAGCTCTATTATCTTTCTTTCCTGGTTCTCACATACTCCTTCTATGTTCCATAATTCTTCTTCTATATACTTTTTGTCTGACAAAGTGATCTTTAAACCCTTTTGTATTTCTGTCACCACCTCTCCGAGCTGTTCTTTCTTAATTTTCAGATCCTCTACTTCCTTGTCCGTATTGTCTTGCAATTGGTTGGCTTTAATTTTCAGATCCTCTGCTTCCTTGTCCTTACTGTCTTGCAAATGTTTTAACTCAAAGGCTTTACATTTGTATTCCCTCCACATCCAGTATTTAAAAAAGTTTTTAAATCTTTTTCCCCCAACGTTGATGTTACCGGCTGACACTTCTTCCTCTAACCATTCTATACCATTTTTCTGGCTCATTTCCTCACGTATGTCCTGTAGTTTTAGGCCTGTTTTCTTACATATTTTCTCCTCATATTTATTCAGCCATTGTTGAAAACTATCTTTCAATTTTCGCTCTCTCTTGTCAGTCATCTCAACAACAGGAATACCCGAGATACTGTAAAGGGCAATGCCTGTCTCCTCCTTGTCCCCTGACTCCTCCACTCCACCCTCCGCAGCCGTGCTTTCAGCCACTATGCCCTGAGGCTCGGGAACTCCCCTCCTCACTCCCTTCGTCTCACCCCCTCTCTTCCTATTTTCAGGTCTCTGCTGAAGACCTTTCTTTTCGACCGCGCCTTTGGTCACCTTCCCCCCCCTCCCCCTGGCTCGGTCCCGGGATCCGTTATAGTGAAGCGCTCTGAGACGCTGTCCGGCTTGGAGGGCGCAATATAAATCCAAGTTGTTGTTGTTGTACATGCATATTTTTCTTTTCTTATTTCAATGTGCTGATGAGGGCAGGCCGGTGTGGGGTTAGCATGTTTGAACATGAGTCTCGGCAGCCTGAGGGAAGATGCAGAGGTGTGGTCAGGCAGAAAAGGTCATCATTGTCAGCACCCAAGGTGTGGAGACAAGCAGGAGTGTCTGAGTTTTGTTGACGTTCAACTGTTGAAATGCTCCAAAACCAGATGGGCTAATTGCACCCACATGGAAAAATGCTGCAAAACTGGATGGATGTGCCATATCTGTTAGTGTGCCACATCTGTGCCATATCTGTCAGGCTCTGGAACTCCATCCCCCAGT